AGCCAATTGTCATAAGTTGACTGAGTTAGAAGAGGAAGTGATTATTCGGTATATACTGGATATGGATTCCAGAGGATTTGCGCCCCGGCTCGCTGGTGTAGAAGATATGGCTAATTTTATCCTTGAATCGCGGGGGGGAAGACGCGTCGGCAAGCTCTGGGCCCATCGATTCGTACAACGACAACCAGACCTTAAGACGCGTTTTAATCGCGTTTACGACTTCCAGAGGGCCTTATGCGAAGATCCTGACGTGCTAGGCGCATGGTTCCGGCTAGTAGAGAATATGAGGGCGAAATATGGGGTTACAGACTCCGACTTCTACAACTTCGACGAGACAGGCTTTATGATGGGTGTTATTTGTCCTAGAATGGTTGTTACTCGTGCAGACCGACGTGGTAGAGGCAAGGCAGTTCAGCCAGGCAATCGGGAATGGGCTACAGCAATTGCCTGTATTAATGGGGAGGGCTGGAGTATTCCTCCATTCTTGGTAGTTCAGGGCAAGAACCATCTCTCCAACTGGTATACCGACGGCGGCCTCCCACCTAACTGGGTTATGAAACCGACAAGCAATGGTTGGACAAATAATGAAACAGGCCTGGAATGGTTAAAGCACTTTGATAAACACACTACAGCTCGTGCAAAGGGTCTGTATCGAATACTAGTTTTGGATGGGCACGAGAGTCATGAATCGGCTGAGTTCCAAGACTACTGTACGAAACACAACATTATTACTCTTGGACTACCTCCTCATTCATCCCATCTAACCCAGCCACTTGATGTTGGGTGCTATAGTGTGTTAAAACGAGCGTATGGTCGGCAGATTGAGACGTTTATCAAGGCCCATATCAACCATATTACAAAGGTTGAGTTCTTTCTAGCCTTTACAGCAGCATACAAGGAAACAATGACAGTCCTAAACTGTCAGTCTGGATTCCGCGGAGCTGGCCTAGTACCATTTAACCCGCAAGCAGTGCTTTCAAAGCTTGACGTAAGGTTACGGACTCCAACTCCCCCTCGGACGTGTAGTGCCAACTCCCTCCCCTGGGTGTCCCAGACCCCTTCCAACCCAACTGAAGCCCTTTCACAATCAACTCTTGTACGAAATCGTATAGCCTGTCATCAAGGAAGCTCGCCAACTCCACTTTTTCAAACAGTTGCTGCGTTAGCAAAGGGTACAGAGCGAATGGCACATGAGATGACCCTTTTGTCTGCTGAGGTCCGTACCCTTCGCGCTGCAAATGAAGCCCTAAGTAAACGCCGTAGGGCTAAAAAGACTCGTGTCCGCCAAGGAGGGGCACTTATAGTAGAGGATGTACAGGATATGTTAGCTCAGGAGGATGTAGATGAGCAAGTACGACGCGACATGCGTGAGGCGGGGGTTGGTTATAAGGAGGGGCAACCTTCTAGGCGGCGCTGTAGAACTTGTGGAAAAGCTGGTCATAACGCGCGAACTTGTCAAGAAGTTATAGATATATCTAGTTCGTCAGATATAGAGAGCGATAATTAATTTAATATATTGTGGTTGATTTATTTAGGTGTAAAGTTCTGTGCCAAGAAAAAGTGATCGACTCGGTGATATGATCGACTCGCTGATAAACTACGTTAAACTACTAACTTATACTTTATTTATAAAAGAGATAAGAAAAACTTAAAACTAGATAACCTATCTAGACTACTTAAGTTACTAAATTATAATAATAGTAATACCTAAATATAAGAAGGTAAGGTACTTAGGAGTAATACTAAACCCTAAACTAAACTAGATAGTATATATTGAATATATCTAGGATAAGTATATAAAGGTTATAGGAGTACTCTAGGGTATTATAGTATCTATATAGGGTATTAATAGAGACTATATACTCTAGTTATCTAAAGCTACAATTATTCCCAGACTACTCTTTATATACTTAGTGTCACGAATCACGTGCTCACGTGATACTTGTCATAATAAGAGGCGCAACCCTCGACAGGCATACCCAGGTTTCTTATAGCAAATAGGGATCGCTTAGGGTAGCTAAGCGATCCAGGGATTTCCATTGGTTATGGTCACATGATTAAGTTGGATCGCTGGATCGCTCGGCGACCTAGCGAAACGGACCGCCAGCTCGATAGGCGAGTTGGCTACCCAGATCATAGTACTTGAGGATGAAGATTCTATATAAGACTGGCACGTCTGCCATTAGATAGGAGCTTCGTGCTCAACTTAGTTATCAACTTAGTTATCAATTATCGCTCGGCGACCTAGCGAAACGGACCGCCAGCTCGATAGGCGAGTTGGCTACCCAGATCATAGTACTTGAGGATGAAGATTCTATATAAGACTGGCACGTCTGCCATTAGATAGGAGCTTCGTGCTCAACTTAGTTATCAACTTAGTTATCAATCTTATCATATTTGTTTTACATCTTTGATACAAGTAACGAGTTCACTTCCAAGTGAACAACCCGATAGTCTTCTTCTTATCATAGCATACCAACCAGCGAATACCCAGCCAAGTTTAGTTAGCCAGTTTGAGTATTCGTTACAAGTAGGACCTAGCGTACTATAAGAATACCTAGTATCTACTAAAGCTAAAATAAAACTAGATAAGGTAAGAGACGAAATAGAATAAGATATTAGGCTTATTATATTAGATAATACTAAATAAGATATAGATTAAGATAGCGAGCTAGTCTTTCTAAACTTTTAAAACTAAGATTTAACCCTAAACCTAAGTAAGTTTACTCTATACTTAGGATTAGGGTTACTAATACTAATACCTAGCGTCCTAGAACTACTCTATAGTATAGAAGATAGAGTTAGATAGAATACTAAAGATAATAAATTAGTACTACTATAAGAGTTAAGAGAGATAATCCCGCGATTATTATAGGCTTTATTAAACCTACTATTAACTAGGGTAAGGTAAATAATCGAGCTTACTAAGTTCTAGATATCTTTAAGAGTATAAAGTAAAGTATACTTAGAGATAATATATAATAGATTAGTAGCGTCGAGATTAATACTTAAAATACTTAATAAAAAGATAATTAATACTATTTATATAATTAAAAACGCGAACCAAGTAAATAGACTTACTATAAAGAACTAACTTCTTATTAAAAAAAGGCCCTCGCTCTAAAAATAAAAAATCTTAAAATAAGGAAGAGGTACTATAATTAGATTAGTATATTAATAAGCGAATAAGGTCTAAATTAAAGTTAGTATAAAGGTTATTATTAAGGTCTCTTTTAATTATATTATTATAGTTAAGAAGGTTCTTATTATTAGTATTATGGTTAGGGTTCTTAGTTTAGTTAAACTCTTCTATACGCGGAGAAGAAATTAAGCTTACCTAAAATATAGCGAAGTTAAAACTATCCGAGGTATAGGGGGTAGGGAATATAGGGGGAGAGACTATCGATAGTATTAAGTAATAAACACTAGTTAGAATGTTCTTAGTTTTTAGATTATAGAGTTAAAAAGATTTTAGAAGATGATTTTTATTTTTATCTTTTATTAGACTAGACTACTTTTTTAAAAGAATAATACTACCTAGGGAAATAGCCTATATTAGCCCTAAAACTAGGGGGGGCTAAAATAGTAGGAGAGTACTACCTAAGACGTGGTACTATTAGAGTAGCTAGTTATATATTAAACTATAAATAGACGTCTCTATATTAGACCTAGATAGGACTAGAAAAGAGTATAGATTTAAAAAAACCTACGCACCGGCACGTTTACCGGTCCTAAGGACGTACAAATAAAACAGATTTATACGCGCAATTAAGTACTGTCTTCTCCCAATAGCATGTGCTATTTAAACTCGATTTGAGTGCGATGCGGCTGATACTCAGTACAGTATCGCGATATGGATGAGCTTTGGTGTTCCTGTCCAGTAACCTTGCTACAGTAGGCTGAATGTGGGGTAGTTCTAGAGGTACCCGACGCAAAAAAAAAACAGAATCTCACGTGACTTTAGCTAAACTAGATTGGGAAGGAGAGTGAAAAGCTCATCTGTTATGGAAAGCCAGCTTGCTTGATTATAATAATTTTCTCACGATCCAAAGATTAAATGCTTAGTTATTTCGGATTTACCGTTCATGGTTCTACGGAGATACCGTACTAATTAGATTATAAGATAACATTCCTGAATAAGATAAATGGTTATATAAAATAAATTTCTCATTTTTCAAAATATTAATACCTTAGATATTGTAGCCAACCAGAGGGCTAGAAACCCAATGGATTGATTACCAAAAAGATTGGGGAAATTATTTTTTAAGATTTTAATAGTTTTTTAAGATAGGGTTCTTTTTCGACTCTGGACGAACTCTTTATTTGCAAAATAGTATCTGATAACTTCATTAATACCGTGATTCAATTGATACTTAATGGGAACCAGAAACCAACGCATTCGGTGTTTAGCGGGAAGGGTTGCCCCTCCCCCACAACCAACGTTGATCAACCACTCACGATCATAATTGCGTAATTGCGGGATCAACAGTTTGGTAAGTTAGAACTAACTGGATAATCTTGTAAGTATTGTGTTGCGTGAACTTCTGGCCGCATTCACTATCCCGAGCAACTGGAATTTGCACAACCGAGCAACAAATCAGCATAAAGTACCAACTTGATTGCATATATTCACCAAAAGATGTCTGCATCTAGTCGTATTCCATGGATACAAAGCTCCACCAGTTTTCGTCAATTTACCGAATTTATGCGGCCAAGAACACGCAGATTGTCGGGTACCTTGGCCAGTGGTGATCCCCATGGCCGCTTTTGGAATAGGAAGGTGCACAACAGATACAGAAAGAGACAAGGCACTTGGCACTAATTCGTGATGTTACTCTTGATTAAAAAACCAACTTGTGCAGAGTAACATTTGTTTAAAGACTCGCGTTTGGTCGTGGTGAAATATTTTAGACATCGTCTCTTCTGAGGACGACATTAATCCGCGGAACATCGTCAAAATGAGAGGTTTTCAAGTACGTGCGACCAAATTGTGAATATTCATGCTGCTTACTGACTCGTTCATTCAGATTGGGAGTGTAGCTTTCGCTCTCTTTTCTATTGTTGTGTCGGCTCCAGCACCTACCAGAAGAGCAGACAAAAAGGTTGTTACCTTCAACGATACTGTCTCGGGCAGATTCGGTGTGCAACGAACAACTCTTCAATGGACTTCTCAGGGCGCCGATGGGTCCTACGTCGACTTGAACAGTACAACTGGTGATCTCTTGATCTCCAACATCATTACTCAAAACAGTACTGTCCTTGTCAAAGCCAGTGATGTTGCCGAGGCAGCACGAAATCCTTATGATTATTCAATTCAGCCCAATGGCCAAAACGTTCTTTTTACTGTAAAATACAAAAAGCAGTATCGTCACTCTTTCTTTGCTGATTACTATATTTTTAATGTGGCCGACAAAACTACGACTCCATTGGCTGCTGACCAAGCTCAAGGTCGGTCTATATTTTGTCCTACAAGCTATGTACCGCTGCTGATCCAAAATAGATATCCAATATGCTGGTTGGTCCCCTGTCGGTGACACTATTGCTTACGTACGTGGAAACAACCTTTTCATCTGGCAAAATGGTACAACCACTCAGATCACTAAAGACGGTGGCCCAGATGTTTTCAATGCAGTACCGGATTGGGTATACGAAGAGGAGATCTTTGGTGACTACAAGACTCTTTGGTTCTCCCCTGACGGAGAATATGTTGCTTACCTGAGATTTGATGAGACCGGGGTAAGTAAAATTCGAAAAGAAGCCAGAACAAATCTAATATCGAACATAGGTCCCCACATACACAATCCCATATTACATGGCTGGTGGAGATGTTGCTCCGCCATATCCAGAGGACCTCGATATTCGGTACCCCAAGGTTGGAGAGAAGAACCCTACGGTTTCTGTCAACCTTCTTTCTCTCTCCAACCTTGCAGCCGGGCCCTCAAAAGTAGAGTTCGAATCATTTGCAGAAGACGATTTAATCATTGGTGAAGTTGCATGGGTCACTGATGAACACTCCCATTTCATTTTCCGTACATTCAACCGAGTTCAGGACCAAGAAAAGCATATCGTCGTTGATACTGCAACCTTGGCAGCCTCTGCTGTCCGAGAACGAGACGCCAGACCCGGATGGATTGAAAACAACATGGCAATCCAGTACGTTGGAGACGGAACGTACCTTGATCTTTCCGATGAGTCCGGTTGGCTACACATCTATCTTCACTCTATCAATGGATCGACGCCAACTGCTATCACCAGCGGCGAGTGGGAGGTCACCGCAATCTTGAATATCAACGCGGCAAGCAAGACTGTTGTTTATCAGTCCACAGAGCGCGATTCTACTGAGAGACATGTCTACTCGGTTTCTTTCGATGGTACCGGAAAGAAGGCACTTGTTGATGATACTGTTGATGGACATTGGACTGCAAGTTTTTCTTCTGGAGGTGGATTCTATATTCTTTCCTACAATGGCCCAGAAATTCCGCATCAGGAGCTTTACAGTTCGAACTCAACATCGACCGCTATCAGGACGTTGAATGATAATGCAAGACTGGCATCAAGACTTGCGGAGTACACTTTGCCCAACACCACCTGGACAACAATCGATCATCCAGATGGCTACTCGTTGAATGTCATCGAGCGTCTTCCCCCAAATTTCGATCCCAGCAAGAAATATCCCCTAGTTTTCGACCCTTACGGAGGACCAGGATCTCAAGAAACAGCCAAGACTTTCAAACAAGTCGATTTCTCAGCCTATCTCTCTAGTGACCCTGAGCTTGAATACGTTGTTGTCACAGTTGACAACCGCGGAACCGGTTACAAAGGACGCGATTTCCGAATGCCAGTAGCTCAACAACTTGGTAAACTTGAAGCTCAAGATCAAGTCTTCGCGGCAAAGGAGTGGGCCAAGAAATCATACATTGATGCTGAACACATAGCCATCATGGGATGGAGTTACGGAGGTTATCTCTCCTCTAAAGTAATCGAATTAGACAGCGGTATCTTTTCTTTTGCGGTTATCACTGCTCCTGTCTCGGACTGGCGATTCTATGACAGCATGTACACAGAGCGATACATGAAGAACCTCACTACCACAGACTCCACCAACGGTACTGGTGCCTACTATGAGACCTCGGTTCACAACTCTGCTGGCTTCAAGAACGTCCGCGGTGGAGTTATCATTCAACACGGTACTGGAGATGACAATGTGCATTTCCAACATTCAGCTGTGCTAGTTGATACTTTGACTAGAGGTGGCGTTGGACCTACGAAGATGAACGTTCAGTTCTTCCCAGATAGTGACCACAGCATCAGGTTCCACGGTGCGAATACTTTGGTCTACAAGCAGATGGCTAGGTATTTGTGGTTGGAACGAAACCGAAAGCCAGAGGAATCCAGTTTGGTTCATCAGTTCACCAAGAGAGAGAACTGATTGGTTATAATGAATTTTCTTAATGTTAATAATAATGATAATCTCAAATACTTGCTGTACCAGACTTTGACTTGTGATTAATATCGTGAACCTCTAACGATCATTTGCGGTCCACATCAGCAAATATTTTGCACGGTACTGTAAGCCTGTAAGCTTTGTATTTGTGCAGAATCAGAATGCTATATCCGATTGGGTAACCAAACGATGGCCAGTCATCCCTCTTATCGGTGCCTGCAGCTCACTGTTTCTCCTTCCCTCTTTGGAAATATCATATTGCACCGCAGTTCCACCATCCTACACTTGCATGCATGTCCTCAACTACCCCGCATCCACTCTGCGGCTTTGTCAATCTCACTGTTGCATTAGAGTATCAAGGTGGAAATGGTGGGGGTTCGGCTTCTCTTTCTTTTAGATTGATAAGTAGGCTCAATGTTGCCTGGAATTCTGTTTACTGGAATCATCGCAGTATTCTGCAATTGAATTGCCAAGATGAAACTCTCTCAATTGGTCTTCGGGTTTGGGGTCTTCGCCTCCACGTTTTCATGTGCATCGCCAACCGACACAAGACCCCTCAGAGATTCTGTAAATAGACTCCATCATAATTGCTTACCCATTCCTTCCACTTCAAAGTTTGAATTCTAATCAAATTCCCAGAATAAACTCCGCCGTCTCCTCACTCGCTCAGCGCTTCTCTCCAAAGCCAAAACTCTCCAAAATTTCGCCTACGATACCCCCAAACGAAATCGACAAATCGGAACTCCAGGTCATAATGCAACCATAAATTGGATATACGATACCATAAACCAATTTCCAGATTATTATGAGAGCTACTTGCAGCCGTATGATATGCTTCTGCATGAAGATGCGAATCTTACTGTGAACGGCAAGGCATTGGAGGTTTATTCTTTGGGGATGAGTCCGTCAGGGAAGGCGAAGGGCCCGGTTGTTCATATTCCGAATTTGGGATGTGATAAAGCAAGTGAACGCCTGCGGTGACGTTGAAAAGTTCTGAGGAATGACTTGCTGACTTGTCGGGATTAGTCTGATTTTCCAGCCGATCTTACTGGGAAGATTGCACTGATTCTGAGGGGAGATTGCCAATCTGCTGTTAAAGATGCGTATGCTGGAGCTGCTAATGCTAGTGGTGTTCTTATTTATAATACTGGAAACGCGATTTATAGCACCATGAATGGGTATTCGCTTCAGCTGGTTTCGACACCTGAAGGTCCTTATGTGCCAACTGGGGGCATAACGAGACCGGATGGGGATGCTATTATTGCTCTACTTGATGCAGGGGTTGAGTTTATTGCTGATTTGTCCACTTTGACGCTTCACTTCAAAAGGACCGGGAGTTAACGACAACGGCTCCGGCTCAAACACACTCCTCGAGATTGCAGTTCAACTCACAAACTTCTCTATCAACAACGCGGTTAGATTTTCTTGGTACACCAAGTATATTCTCCCTCCGTTATTTCAAAACTAATTAGGAAATAGGTGGACAGCAGAAGAGCCCGGTCTTCTCGGGGCGACATACTATGTGGCTCATCTCAACCAATCTGGGATCAACAAAATTCGTCTTCTCCTAAGTGAGTTTTACAACCCATATTGCTCTCCGTTTACTGAAGTTCCTTTCCTCAGATTTCGACATGCTAGCAAGCCCCAACTACGCGTATCAAATATACGACGGCGACGGATCAGCCTTCAACTCAACAGGGCCCCCAGGATCCGCGGAAGCAGAACATGCCTTCCAAGACTACTTCACAAACGAAGCGCACCAAGGATGGACAGAAACAGAATTTGACGGACGTTCTGACTATGGACCCTTCCTAGATGTGAGCATCGCATGTGGAGGCCTTTTCACTGGTGCAGAGGGAAATAAAACAGTTCAAGAGGCAGCTCTGTTTGGTGGCGAAGCGGGAAAGCCGTATGATGTGAATTATCATTTGGCTGGGGACAATGCTACGAACTTGAATATTGGGGCTTGGATCGAGAATACCAAAGCTATTGCCCATGTACTTGCGGGCTATGCGAGAAGCTTTGACTCGTTACCTCCGAGGAATGTTTCGGTTGCTGCCAAGAGGGAGGTACTTGCGAAGAGGGGGGCGCTTAGAAAGAGAGGTTCACCTCGATACTAGATGCGATAAAGTGCTCTTTCATAAAATAATTTCTGCTCGTTATAGGAGCTAAGTTCATGAACTACGTTTCAAAAAAGGCTCCGTAGCGCATTGTGTTATATCGTGATATAACACTCATTTTGACCTCCATAAGCGAGACTAAGCGAGGATACGGGTAGGTTTGTGAAAATCATGTCAATGAATGGCGATAGTATTCACTGGCCTATGCATACTTTAGAAACCCCACGATATGTTCAAAAACGTGTAAAGCGTAGTATTGTACCAAGAATCAATGTACGTAGGGGTACCGATGTCATTGTAACGAAATATTCTGGATTTGTAATCTTGGACTTGTCTGAGAAACTCAAGGAAGACTACAGATTCGATTCTGAAAAGAGTGGACAATATCTGAGGTAATTAAACCTGTTATTAAATCCATGCAAATGCAACTAATAGGACGTATCGACCCAGTCCTTCCAACCGCTACCTAGATACAAAATCAGCTATCATCGCAAACGAGCTCACGAGTTTCGATCCATATAGAAAGTGAATAATTCTCGAAATAACTTACCAAAGACAGTATCTTTTGATATCGTTCCACTGGCCTTGCTCTCGTCTGTCATAACATTAGCGACCTAGCTCCTCAATATGTGTGAGGTACTCACATTGTCTCTTCGACGTATCCGCTCCGTCACCTTCAAGGACAAAATATTAGTTGAATAATCTAGAAAAATTACTTTTTAACTAACCTGAGTTATTGTACTCGTAAAAGAGTCTTCGCGAAACGTTAGCTTCATATTTCCAGGTGGACATAGTGAACTCACAGTGTAGCACCATCGTAAAGAGTACTCCAACCACCAGGAGCAACGACACCAGAAAGGACTGAATTCTGGTACATGACCCGTGAAAGAGCTCGCCATGGTCGCCCAAGATATACCTTTCCTGTCAAACTTTGGCCAGCAGCTGCTGTAACCTAACACTCTATCAGAAGGCAGCTCTTATAGTTAAAATATATTCCATAACTTACCATGCTATGATCAATCACATACCATGTAGCTTCATCTGCTACACCTCGGGAATTTGCCGTGACGGCACCATTCCCGTTACTGGCAATCGTGCACTCACCAAACTAAGCAGCTGCATCGTCGAATATATAGTCAACAGCTCCCTCCATGTAGCAGTTAGAGTAATATTGATGGCCAGCTTTGGCATAAAGAGTATCTTGGTAACCATAGAATCCACATCCGTAATATCCCTGACGGTCACCATTTGCGCAAACCGCCACTGCTTGGGCGCCTTTTCCAAATGTGTTCTTGAAGTTGATGTTGTAGGCTTTGAAGTTGGAAACCACAACATTCATGGTAGCAGAACCATCAAGACCTCCGGCATCGTCTGATTTCAAGCTTCTCTGGAAGGTAACAACGTTTTGCTTGAAACTTCCGGTGCTAGATCATATTTAGTATTTTGTGGATATATTTGTGTGGGAAGTACAAACTCAGTGGTGTAACCATAAAGCGTCAAAGGTCCTTTGTAAGTGATATGGATCTGTTCAGTAACAGTGTATGTGCCGCTGTAAATCTATAAATTGCGGATTAGAATAAGAATTTTCATGCAGGGGAAGCCTCAAAACTCACAAAAATGCATTTTGCTGTGGTGCCTGTTCCAAGTGTTATTATTATTATTATTATTATTCCTTTTAACGTGCTGTGTGAGTCTGAGACTATAGTAGCACGGCTGGGGGTTTCCCTCCAACAGATGAGTAAAGCTGTACTAAATACATGTTTGAGAAGGGGGTTATGGTCATTACAGTTCTTGGGTTGTTGGAAGCAGCTAGGCTTCTGGTTATGACAAAAGAAAAGTTGTTATGTTGTAGTACGCCCCCTAGTTTCACGCCCTGTACGCTACACTTCCTCGTTCTCGTCTTCCTCGTCCTCATCTTCGTTCTCATCCTCAGTTGCGCGTTGTGTGTGCCATATTCTAGTGGCGATTTTGGTGGTTCGAATAAAGTCAAGTGTGGCCTCGACTCCTTTGGCGGTGTGAAGGAGGGATTTCATGGTGAACTCTCGAATATGATGCTTGAGGAGGTTGCGCTTTAGTACTTTCCTAGCATCCCCAGTTTCTGGACAGCTAAGAAGGAGGTGAGTGGGAGTCTCTTGTCTTCCACATCTACAGCGGTTGTTGGTAGTGTGGCCGAGCTTGTGTAGGTATGATTTGAAGTATCCATGGCCTAGCTTAAGCTGATAAAAGGCGCTGGCTATCTCTCTTTTTGTTCCTTGGGGGACGCAAGGTTTCGACAGAATCTTCCATGGGAATTCCCTTCGATACGAGTGTTGGTTAGTTGATGGTTCTGTGTGCCGGGGGGGTGTAGTAAGCTTTTGACGCCATTCTTTGTTCTGGGTCTGCCTGATCTTGACTCCTAGCATAGCAAAGCTAGTGAGTTGAGTGGCCTGTTCCAAGTGCAGATAGTGGAGCATTGATGTTACTGTAGGTTCCTGATCCGCCCACTGTGAGACAGCCACTTGGTGGACTAGTTCGACTTGCTCTCTTAACTAAGGCATTACTGGGCTCTGAACTGGGTAATGCAGCGACAGTAGCGACTAGAGCAAGAGCTCTAAGACAGAGAGATCCGAAAGAAGATTTCATCTTGAAGGGATGAAAAGAATGTAAAAGAGACGGTTGAGCTTTATCTGATGCCTGACACAGCATGTTTATACTTTTAGTAGCTGCTTAATCTTCACCTTGTGACTTACGAGTATTTCCCAAATGGATAGCGGAGATATCCCTTCCTTTCGATTCATTCTTCCGCTGCCGGTGGAATCTTAAGCCAGAGAGGCAAAAAAGGGGGCCGTGAAATTTCCGGCTGTCGATAGAAATTCACAGCTGCTGAATGCTGAAACTTAGGAGATAATCCAAATAGGGAATTAAATCCGATCTAAAAGAAATATGGTTTAGGCGGATCTCGACTGGGATATAGATTGCGGGGTAATGCACGGTTAACCAGCCGCAAATTCCACGAATGAACCCATTTGCATTGGATTACAGTTTGAATTGAAATTACATTTGCTGCAAAAGATATTGAAGAAACCTCGGACTGGGAGTAGCGTGAATGAAACGCACTGAATCAAGCATGGACCTTCGTTTGTGGGTAGTTTATCGTGGTAGGATGCCTCTTTTAGCCTTCAGAGTACTGCAACAGCACTTGCCCATTTCAAAAGGGGCACTGAATAATTTTGAACGTTCAGGAAATAAACGTCTCTGCGAATGCAAAACTTTCTATCATATGTTTCTCGAACAACCTTTGTCAGATTTGTGATTGTAGTATATCTGAAGTAAGTAGCTGGGAGATATCACATGCTCTTGGATTACAGATAGAATATTGATATCTAGGACTCGTAGCTAGTACTCTACATCTCTGAATACTATCTCAATTACACCCATTTTGTAGACCGTTCTAAATTTCTGGTAGTCCACGTAGGTAGCACCAGATATCTGACTCTACACCTTTTTTCGCTCTTTATTTATTCTTTATCTCTTCTATCTTGGATACGACCCTTGCATCGATCCCTAGAGAACTTTAGAATACTACCAGATTAGGGTTATAATACTGGCTTTTGCAGATCAGATATCCGAGAAGATACAGTCAAGTCTCAACCTTCTGCATCCTCCTCTCAAGTCGCATTTCAAGTCTCTTACGAAGTCATTCCATTAAGCTACGTGCCAAGCTACGAATCTAAGAACCGAATCAGTCGTCCTTTAACTCTTAGTCTCTTTTCTGAAATTTGCGGTCAGTCTAATATGGATTGTTGTACAGATTCATTATTTTGCGCTCATGCCACCGTTATTGTGTGCGTTCTGTTGCACCGACGATCTTTTGCATTCCCTTCTTGGTATTGCAGGTTAAACCCGCTTCTTCTTACGTCTTGCGTACTCCGCTTCCCTCATCTGCCTCTTGCGACCTTCCTCAAATCCGTCGTCACAATTCACTATAAATCATCCGTCACTATCTTCCATTACCTATCAGGCATAAATCAATGTTTATCCACTTACAGCCAGATGTTTTCAGCTTTCCTTTTGTGGAGGATGGGGAAATAGACCAGCATAGGATAATACGATTATACGGGGGGTTTTCTTACTTTCGGGGGTCATCTCTACTTCTTTGTGTACGCACTTTGTTACTTTGGGATCTCTTTTTGAAAACATTATTTCAGGTGTCTAGAATGGGGCAGGAGCGAAGAATGAATAGCTGGGATATCCTATATACCCTTGAGTCACAGATGGAGAATTCGATATCCAGGACTCGTAGCTAGTACTCTGTATATCTAAAATACTATTCATTCTACCCACTTTGCGGAACGAACCTTATTTCTCCTGAATAGCGTAAAGTACGAATTTTAAGCTTTGCTCATTTCAATCCAATAGAAGATAATTTGCCGAACGTTGTACGGAAGGTTAAATCCCCAAGCAACTTCATTGGATTTGAAAATAACCTCATTGTCTCTGCTGAACCACACACTCACCCTTGAGTTCAGCTTTGGTTTTCGTGAGTTCCGTATTGATGCCATTCTTGTTCAAACGATCAACAACTTTCTAGACCATCATCGTCAATACCATATACCATGTATCCTTCATCGCTCACCCCGCACTGAATTGTTCTTTCATGAGATCCCTCGCCCAGCTCCTATGTGGTGGGTGATAAAGATGGGTAGGTTGAAGTGGTGGCAGAACCACTTTCAACTGCTTGATAAGACTTAGAAGTATCGTGAACATGGTGAACAGGTGGGCAACAAGACGTAGCTAAGTGCGTCCTAAGAACAACAGCAATACAGAGATGAATGATAAATGGTGAAATTCGTGGTGACGAACTATAAGTGTGTACTTTATTGTAAGCTTGGGGCGAATCTGTGCTATGGTAACCCCAAAATCCAGGTATTACTCAATTAGACTATTATAACTACCTTATAATAGATTTAATAGATTAGACTATAGTAGTAGTAAATATATTAATCTATTCTATAATATACTTTTATAATAGCTTAGGTAGGTATAGAATAAGGAATAGAATATAGGTTATAAATAATATAATAATATACTAATTTATATAAAGCGCTATACCTTCTACCTTACTAACCTTTCATATCTATAATTATCTGTTCCTAATATAGACGTAGCCGACCTAGCTATATCTCTATTAAGAGCTAACTTTATACTACTCTTTCTACTACCTAGTATTAAATAACTAAATATTAAACCTTTTACTAACGTTTATAAGCGTTAGTATAAGTTATACCTTAAAAGGTCTTTAAATCGGAGTATTTTAATAGGTACTTAGTATACTAAGATATAAGATTAGTTAACTAATCTAAGGATATATATTTGTAACGAATCCTCAAACTGGCTAACTAAACTTGGCTGGGTGTTCGCTGGTTGGTATGCTATGATAAGAAGAAGACTATCGGGTTGTTCACTTGGAAGTGAACTCGTTACTTGTATCAAAGATGTCAAACTAATATGATAAGATTGATAACTAAGTTGATAACTAAGTTGAGCACGAAACTCCTATCTAATGGCAGACATGCCAGTCTTATATAGAACCTTCGTTCTCCAAATCCTGAATGTCGACAGCGCGCTCGTCGCGCTGCCGCGCTTTCGTCACGTGACTATGAATGCTATGAAATCCTTGGATACTCAACAACCCTGAGTAACCGCTGCTATGGTATAACTACTCTGGATGTATCTGTTTTGTCAGAACGCCGTCTGGACTAACTCGTCACATGCTAGCACGTAATTCGTGACAATATTATACCTTCTTTAGATAAGGTAGAAGTTACTTACTAATATAATATATATGTGAGAGGCCAGACCTTGAACAGCTCAAAGGTGTGGTTTCGAATATTGAATTAATAAGTGCGTGAAGACTACATACATGCGAGCTCTTCCTCTATATATAGAGAGAGGAAGAGCTTCCTGAATATTCCAAGAAACTTGCAAGAAACTTGAATTACGAATACATGTTGTCAGAAGAACAAAACAAGAAAGTGTGGAATGGTGGAAACCTGTTTGGCGGTGGGGTAATGGCCAGTGCTAAGCGGGGACTTTGGTCAGTGTTTAGCGAGGGCATGGCCCGAGCCTCCATCATGGGTTCCAACCCTCACAATATAAGTTATTTAAAAAGTAATTAGTAACTTATTAAAGGAAGTAATTATATAATAGTCTATAAAAGTAGGTATCTCTTCTCTTTACTTTCATAAGAAGTAATTAATATTATTGTGACCGTGTGGAGTGAACCACTGCTTGCTGTGATGAATACGGAGTCAAACGGAAACTGCTATATAGAGCGAACAACTAA